GTGTGGATTATCAGGGCAGGCCGTGTTTGCTCTCGCACAATCTCACACGGCCACAAATATGAGTTGCACGGCCGTGTGAGTTGTGGGTGTGCCCGTGTGGCCTCCTTTGTGACTTGCCTCGCGCCCGATCTTCGTCCAATCGACCCCAAACTCGCTCCCAAGCCTCCATTCACGTACTAGGACCTGAAATATCACAAACAAGCACAACCTAGCGTGAAATCGGCCTAAAACACGAGAAATCACATCTCAAACGGTGTGAGAACAGGGGTAAAATCATGTGTAATTAACGGTCTATCACCACTCTTGCCCTAGGAGGTATGTATTGAATGAGCTCTTGATTGATTAGCACGACCTTGTAGATGAACATGATCACAGATTCACAATTGTTTCACCGCTTGTTTCACATCGCCACTGCGTGTTATCGTCAATGTCTTGGACTCCATGACACTCGATCCACCTTGATTTATCTTGCTCGTGATTCTAGACACTTTTTCCATCTTTTTCTCCCTATTTTGTTGCATTTGAATGTGGTCCTCGTAGACTTCCTTGGGAGATAAGGGCTTCAACACGAACTTCTGCCCTTTGTTCATCAACTTGTACTTGTTGGAGACCCCATTATGTTGTGCACTTCAATCAAATTGCCATGGTCTTGCAAGTAAGACGTGTGCAGCTTGCATAGGCACCACTTCACATAGGAACTCGTCCTCATAGCCTCCAATTTCTAATTTCAATAATGCTTGCCTCGAAACCTTGATCTACCCATCTTCATTGAGCCATTGGAGATTGTAGGGTTTGGGATGCTTCGTCGTACTTAATCCCAACTTTTTAACCGAAGGTGCACTTACAAGGTTAGTGAAACTTCCTCCATCAATCACCACTGAGAGTAACTTTCCATCCATGCACCATGCATCTCATATGGAACAAGTTCTCTCGTTGTTCAAGATCCTCTTTTGGTTGCACGCTTAGAATCCTCCTGGTAACAAGGAGACTTCCAGGTGGTGCTTCCATCTCGATTGATTCGTTAACTTCTACATCGGATGTCTCCTTTGCGTGCTCCTCTTCTTCAGCATCCGAGACATATTCTCCATTCTCCAACATGATTAGAGCCCTTCTCTTGGGACAATGGTTGGCCATAGGTCCCTTCTATGCCACTTGAAGCATTGATTGCCTCCACTAGAGCTTACAGGTCTTTCTATTGGTGCTTCAACCTTGGCTGTCGGTTTTGGTGCTTTTATGGCTGGCCTATGGTTTGATGTAAAAGGCACTCCTGGCCTTGGTGTGAGGGAGTACGAACCTTCTTCCAAGGTTGCTATCCACAAAAGGTTGGATTTCCACCATGTTCCTGATTTCTCGATTGAGGCCTTGTAGGAATCATGCAATGGTGGCTTCACTATCTTCCTCTAGACCCGCTCTAATTATTAGCATCTCCATCTCTTTATAGTAATCTTCTAAACTCTTGGTACCTTGTAGTAGAAATTGTAGGGCCTTATGCATCTCCCTATGATGATAACTAAGAACAAATTTGTCTTGTATGATGCCTCTCATCTCTGCCCACGTCTCAATAGGATGATGCTTATTCCTTCTTCTTCTCGTGCAGAGTTGATCCGACCATACGATAGCATAATCCAAAAATTCTAGTGTTGCCACTTGAACTTTTTTCTTCTCGGAGTAGTTGTTGTAATCAAAGATCATCCCAATCTTTCTTTCCCAATAGAGATAAGCTTTGGGATCGGTGGTGCCTCTAAAAGATGGAATAGTGACCTTTATGTTCTTCAACTCATCTTCAACTTCTCGTGGGTAGGTATCATAATCACCGTACTTGCCTTCCTTGTCGTGTGCCCGTCATCCCCAAATAGCGATGGCGCCTAATTTGCTCGATCAAGGGTTGCTGAACAACCCCTCCTTCTTCTTCCCTCCTAGCCCTCTCAACATTAGGGTTAGGGTTAGGGTTTGGTAGCCTTGCTTCGAGAGTTTCCAACTTTGCATCTATGCTTGCAGAGTGTGTGGCTTGTGTAGCTAATGCTTGTGAGATCGCCTCCAATTGAGCCGTCATTGATCTCATTGATACTTTTATTCTTGTGACACAAGAAAGTGTTTCTTGCTTTGAAAACCAACAAGAACTCCTCAATATTACTTCGAAAGGCTTCAAGAACCTTTCCTTTGTCCAAGACTCTTCAAGAACTTCAAGATACCTTCAAGAACTCGATCAAGAAGCTTCAAGAACATGAAAGAACTTTAAGAAGCTTCTTCTCTGTTGCGAATCAGGCTCCAGATATTACTTGATGTGACCAAAGTACGCAACTTCAATGATCTTTTCTTCGTTTTCTTGATATTATGACCTTTCTTGATTTTCTTGATCTCTTTTTCTAAAACTCAAAATAATTAAAGATCATGGTGGAACATATTAAACAGATCTCAACTCATGCGAACGGCCAGTTGGTATATTGAACCAATCATACAATTACCAACTCGTGGATAAAGCCAATCGTTATTAGGTAGATGCTCGCCACAACTAGACGCGATCTTTAGTTGATAAGAGACACGTGAACTTTCTGGAATTCATTCGACAAAAAGTTGCACAAAAGGAACTCGTTCGTAATGAACTCGAAACTTGAATTTGATTGATTAAATACTTGATGATTTACAATGGAGAATTCGGCCCCTATTTATAGACTCTCTGACCCGAATCCAAAAAATAAAAAGAAAGCAAATAAATAACCAAATCCTACAAGTAAAAGGAAAATCTACTTTTACCCATTCAACCCTTGTTTTAAGTCTTCATCTCTGCCCCTTCATTCCTTCCACACAGGAGATTCCATTCAGACCTTCATTCCTTCTAGGTTAAGGATATGGTCTTCCTTTTAGGCTAAGGAACCCTCAAAAGCCCATTCTTCTCCTTTTGGCCACCACCTTCTTCCTCAAAGCCTATTTGATCTCCTTCAACTCCTTTAATGAATCGCAGCACCATAATGGGCTTCCCTTTGTGTTGGTCCACATCCATATCATCAAGATAAAGATCCAAATAGCTAGCAAATTCCCCCCTTAACCTCTTAGCCTTAAGACGTGTAATTGGACCCTCTAGTGATGTTGTAGGCTTGTCTTTGATGACCCCATCATCTTCGGTTCTGGATTCGGTCGATTTGATTTTTTGGGTACTCTATCGTATCGTAATTTGGAAGTAAACTGAATCGTACCGATGACCCAATTATAATGGGGGAATTATTTCATAATATTGGTTACTATAGGGGATTAAAATTTCTTAAGGAGAAATCATGCGTATGCTGGCTTAGATGGTGTGTATATGAATATACATGTTTATCCAAATGATCTAATCGTTGTTGTACTTCATTATGAGTTTAATTCATGGTCTAGATAGAGATATCACGTTAGAAGCACCCAAAGTATCGTATACTTCGAGAGTACGACAATATATACACACACGTATTTGTACACCAAGATATTTGAGTATAGGTAAGCTACATATAGCAGACAATTCTCTGCTCATAGTCACCTAACATACTCACCTTCCTATCATGGGGATATTTCTATGGAAGACAGACTAATGCTCTCAACCTTGTTCATACTAAAGGAGGTCAGGTCAAGTCCCCCTAATTTTCGCTAGTTACTGACTTGGGCATCATAGGGACCCTTGTGCAGACAACTACCAGTATATATATATTTTTTTTGCAATTTTATGGAGCAATGGTAGGAAGAAAGCTATCGCTATCAGTTTTGAAGTCAACACGTGGATCGTCCGTCCAAATTGATAATGAAGATCAAGAGAATTAGACAAACTAAATCATGCAGTGATATTGTCTACTGTTAATAGTTAGCTAAATTTCGACCAACATAAATTTGATTGACAACTACCATTCTAAACAATCAGCCAGTTTAGCCAATATGCTTTCTAAATAGACGAAGAGGAAGCTTGTCCTCTATCTTGTATTCTTGTTAATAGGACTGGACAATCGGTTAGCGGTTAACCAATCGATTACAACCGAAATCGGACGGTTATCCACTAACCGATAATCGAGATAACATAAACTCGATTGGAGTTTAGAGGTTGGGTGATATGGTTTTGGTCTTGGGGGTTGTTCGGTTAACCAAAAACCGAGATAACCGAAAGGTTACGCCCTCTTTCGTTCGGTGATCGGTAGGGTAGGGAGGTGGTTTCTTTGACCGATAACCAACTCTTCGGTTATCGGTTATAATCGAACCGACCGGTCCTCCACCCCGGTTCGATAAACCCGAACCAAACCGAAACCAAATTAAACTGAACCGATATCGAATTAATGCTATTCGGTTCGGAATTCGGAAGGAAAATATGGATACTTCGGAAATTAGGGTTCTTTCAACCGAACCAAATTTCCGACCGAAAAACCGAAATACTATAATTGCAAACTCCAAATGGTGGATTTTTATGTTTGTAGTTGTTTTTAGACTTAAATATTTGAAATATTTTATGACTTATGTGTTGAAAATTTGATTTTATCATTGATGATGCATATAATTGAATATTTATTGTTTATATTAGGGGTGAAAAATAATTTAAAAGTGAGAAGATACAAGTAGTTTCACAAATTCGGTTTTGTGTGAAAAACCGAACCAAATTATAATTCGATTTAAACCGACCGAACCAAATTATAATTCGGTTCGATTTCGGTTTGAGGTTTGAGAAAATTCGAGAACCCGATATTCATAATTTCGATTCGGTCGAAACCGAACTGAACGAATACCCACCACTAAATGTTAAGACCTTTTTGGTGAGACAACATTTCAAAAAGAAACTCGAGTTAGAAAAGAAAGTTTGCTATTTTTTTTTGGTAGAAAGAAAGTTTGCTATTTTAAAACAAACAAGTCAGCCGCGAACTTGAGAACTAGAGGAGAGAAATAATGGAAAGTCAAATAAAAGGGAAAATCTATCCATACATAAATCTATCCAAATTAAAACTTAAAACCTTCCTCTTTATAAATTCTAGGGTTTTTCGTTGCTTCTCTCCTACCCTGCCCCTGCCGGCGCTTCTTTCCTCTTCAGTTCCAACTTCTCTTCTCAGTTGTCAGTTGTTACCCTGCAACCATGGCCGTTGTTGCTTCATCCGCCAGTCGTATCCTCTCTCTGACGATTCGTTCACTTCTGCTAGAGTTTTGCTTCCCATGTTCTCAATCGATCGCTTTCCTTGTATCCATTGCAATACTCCAATTCCTTGTGTGAACTTTATCTTCCTCCCAAATGGTTTCTTAAGGGTTTGGATTTGAGGTTTTAGATGTGCGTAACTGGTTGCTTTTATTCTTTATTTTCTGTAGTATGATGCAGAGGCTTAGAAATGGAAGTTACGATTGGTGGGAATGAAATAGCTTGCTGATATTGTCCCAAACTAGAAGGAATAGGCTGTGCGAGCACGCTCGTGCTAGTTTCATTTTTTGTTTCATTTCTGGACGTGTGTTTAAGTTCTGGGAGGTAAGAGCCACTGCTGTTCCCTATGACCTTTGGGGTGAGCTTCATTTGTCAACAGGAGTGTCTTTTGCGTCGGAAATCGAGGCAGATTTGAACTTTTTTATTGGAGCTCTTGGTTTGTTTGTTGGTTGTATTCCTTTACTCATCTCGTTACAGAAGCTGCAGATTTACTGGAGAACCTGTCATTGGAATCTCAAACAAAGATTACAGATATTTCAAATCATGTAAGGAAAGTATGTAAGCATCTCTGTTTTGATATTTTTTTCACTGTTCCTTTCTTTCTTTCATTATTGATCCGATGCTAAATTTGTTTGGTACAGTCTACTGATGGGTGTGGAGCAATTGACTTGACTAGTAATCCAGCCAAGCAATTGCCTCGCTCAGCAAGCCCTTTTCATGTTAACCCAAGCCCTTACTATTTCCACAATCCTTATTACTATGGGGGTAAGCTGAGAACCAAGATGAATCACCATTCCTGGGAAGTAACTGAAACTTACTTGGTTACTCTTGTTAATTGTTCTTCCTTGTTTAGGGTATGATGGACTTGGCAATGACTGGAATGACTTTAGTAGATCTGTAACTCCTGATGGAGTTGAGATGCAACATGTTAGTTCTATAAATGCTTTTTTATCTCAAGTGATTACCTCCTGTTGGTAGGATTGCGAAGAAGTGATATTGAATGAATGTCTTCAGTTTATGATGAATGGTTTACTCAATGGCAGGGTATGTTTCATGACAACGATGCTGCTATGTTCTCCCAAGGTTATGGTTATCTGCCTTTTGGATCATATATGCCTCCGCCAGATAGCCATCTGCAGGGTACACAGCAATATCCTTCTTCAGATAATACCCTTCACTCTTACAGCCATGTTGGTTCCCTTCCAACAAAGATTCAAGCTAAAGCCACCTGTGACAAAGTACCCTTGGGTGTTGGAACGGCAACTGGGGGGAATGCTGGAGGTCTGGGTAAAAATAATGGAAAACCTTTCAAACCAAGTACCCAAAATTATTTTTTAAAATCAGGTGTTCCTTATAAAAATGGAAGTGGCAGAACAACTTATCCTCCATCAAGTTATCAGGATCTGTGGCCGGGTTATGGTGGATTTCAGTCATTCCCCTGGTTGGATGCTCCTGTGCTTTCTAATGGGCCATCAAAACATGGAAGTGGTGGCGGTTTCTCTTCAGGGCTGGTATGTGGATCCTTTCTGTATCTGTTTTTCTTAAGGTCTTTTCCTTTTCCTTGTGGACAACGTTTTCTTTAAAGTCATAACCTTGATCAGCTATAATTTTGTTAATCCAATGATAGTAATACATCTGGGAGGCAACTACTGAGATGATGTCTCACTTGGTGACCATTCTGTTTTATGTTTAGAGTTTTGTTTCCCAATTTAATTGTTAAAAGCTATTGGAAAATGAAAGATGACATATAATGCTTCACATTAGTATATTTTGTATTTATATTCATACAATAGAGTGAATTAGTTTCGATTACCAACATAGTATATTTATGTTAGTCGTGGGGTAATTTCAGAATTCACAATCAACAAGACCTACTTCTGCCTTTGGCAAAGGTACTGGATACATGATGTACCCACCTAATGGGATGTATGGTCCTTATGGATCTGTTGGCTATAACTCCTGGACAAATGGGCATGGTTGAATGGTTGTCGATAATAAGTACAAATCAAAATGTCGTGGCTATGGCAATGAGAATATAGACGGGTTAAGTGAGTTGAACAGGGGACCTAGGGCCAAGAGTTTTAAGAACCACAAGGAGATAGCTACTGGCACCGAAGCTGCTGTTGAGGGGCAAAACATTCCAGCAACCGAGACTAATATAGAGGAGAAGTTTGAACAGTATAACAGGGAAGATTTCAAGGAGGACTATACAGAAGCCCGATTCTTTGTCATGAAATCATACAGTGAAGACGACGTACATAAGAGTATCAAATATGGTGTTTGGACTAGCACACTTAATGGAAATAAAAAGCTGGATGGAGCTTATCAGGAAGCCCAAGCAAATCCTGGCGCTGGCCCCATATTTTTACTATTTTCTGTGAGTATTTTGGGATTGATCCATTGGTTGCTGCAGTAATCTTTGGTATTGTCTCTCTACTTTCTTAATAATGACTTCTGGTCCTCTGCTGAATGTTTCTTTCAGGTAAACACGAGTGGGCAATTTGTTGGCTTGGCTGAGATGATTGGTCGTGTTGATTTTGACAAAACTGTGGAGCACTGGCAGCAAGAGAAATGGAAGGGATGCTTCCCTGTGAAGTGGCATATTGTTAAGGACATACCAAACAGTTCTTTGAGACACATTACACTTGAGAACAATGAAAACAAACCTGTAACTAATAGTCGGGACACTCAGGAGGTGCGTGGTGCTGAACATTTTCTTGGCGAGTAAAAAATTAGATTTGTTTTCCCTTCTGCCTGTCATTTACTAATTTCGTTTAGTATTTTTTTAATTGTAGGTCGTCAGTGAGAAGGGCATTAAGATTCTAAAAAATTTCTAGAGTTATGTGGTGAAGACATCTATCTTGGATGATTTTGGGTTTTATGCAGCTCGTGAGAGGGTAATGCAAGAGAGAAGGGCTAGGCAGAGGACTCAAAGGCAGGTAAGAATGTGTCCTGCAATGTCTACCGTGTCCTTTGATTGTCCTACAATCAGCCTGTTAAGCGTCAACGACTTCCCATTTTTATGAACATAGGTCTCTGAAGGTAAACCCGGTGTGAATGTGATTCCTGACGGAGCTGCTCTGAAGCATCCGGAAAAGGATGGATCGAATGGAGTAATCGGAGTAGCTGGTGTGGATGTGAAATCGGTTGTCGACTCGCATGAGACCAAAGCTACCGCTGCAAATCTGGTTGCAGGTGGCTGCTAATTTTGTAGCTAAGGGTTTTAGAGAGTAGGTATCAAGGGTGACTGAATTCCTGGACTTTTGATAGTGAATTGGCTAATTGGCTATTTCTGCAAGCACTGAAAGTGTAACTGAAAAAGTGGTTAGGACATTGTTTCTAACAAAATACGATGGTAACTAGACACCACATTTTGTCGAGGGAGGGTTGCGACGGAAATAAAATACGACAATGGTAAGGCTGAATTTTTTTCACCTTGCCGTGTAGCCAATACCTCATTTATTTATGCGTCAATTTTGGTGCAGCTTAATAATCAAAAGTTTAAAACCACACAGAACTCAAAGTGTTGGATCACCAGACATGCAACAAAGTTGCAACTACAGGACCATCAAATGAACTTTCTGCCATGTAAGAAAATCATCGGGAAATCTGATACAGCGGGCAAACATTTATTGATCAGGAGTTACAAGTAGGAATAATTTGATGAGTACACAGAAGGAAAGAGAATCATATGCTCAAAGAAGATAAGAACACTATTGTTCACGACTTGCAAAACTCCTGGAGTGTATCATCAAGAGCTTTCCTATCATAATCTGCTGTGAATACACAGTTGCCTAGAGGACCTTTCAGGAGGATAAGCCTTAGCACCCCATCAGCAACTTTCTTATCAACCTGCAAATGGCAAGTAACATGAAGTCAGGAGTGAGGAGGATCTAAGAGCTTCGTTGCTAAAGCAAAGGGGGTGATGATATCTACCGCCATGATGGATCTGAACATTTCCATTGTAATGCTTTCTGGAGGAGCAACAGGAAGCCTAGACTGCTCTAGAATGTTCCGAACCCGCTTAACGAGTGAATCATCAATCCAACCAAGTCGGTAAGACAAGTCAGCAGCCATAACCATGCCAGCTGCCACAGCTTCCCCATGGAACCACTGCCCATATCCGAACCCAGTTTCTATTGCCTGAAACATGCATCAAACAAGCAGGGACTAAATTAGTAAGGTGGGGCTCAAGATGATGGTCAACATGAGGTCAATAGTCAAGCACTTACATGGCCGAAAGTGTGACCTAAGTTCAAAGTTGCCCGCAGTCCAGTTTCTCTTTCATCTAAGGACACAATCTCAGCCTTGTTTTCACATGATCGCTTGATGGCATAAGCTAAAGCACTTGGATCTCTGCAGTGCCAAACGGGGTTGGCAGTCCAACTCACGAATCAAATTATTATCCATTAGAGTATAATGCAAATTGCTGATCAACTATGAGGACTAGCCTAAAAACTGATCATAGCTAAACCAAGCTCGAACACAAGGTGCACTTCTATAGTACTTCAGCATAAGCAAGGTGTCAAGACACTGTCTCTGGAATTATGTAGAATACCTTGCCAATAGTGCCGACATATTCTTCTCCTGCCACTCGAAAAATTCAGCATCACGAATCAACCCGTACTTCACAACCTCACTAATACCTGATGCAAGTTCCCTATCTGGCAATGTGTTGAGCGTGTCGGTGTCTATCAGAACAGACTGAGGCTGGTAAAATGCACCGATCATGTTCTTCCCAAGCGGGTGGTTTATGCCAGTTTTACCTCCGACAGAAGAATCCACCTGAAAAAGGGACAAAAAATTCAAGAAAACCAAAAAGAAGAAAGACCAATGACCATGACTTAAGAAAGTGAAAAAAGGATTTAACACGAGAGAAAAACCTGCGACATAAGAGTTGTGGGAATCTGGATGAAATTAACACCTCGCAAGTATGACGCAGCAGCATATCCGCACATATCACCAATGACTCCTCCCCCCAAAGCAACAAATGTAGATTTCCTATCTAGCCGTGACTCAATTGCCTTGTCAAATACTTTCATAAGAACATCCTATCAGCAGAAAACCAACCCTATTTAGCTAAATAATCTCTGTAACCATTGCATCACCACAGCCCTAGAACTGAAATCAACTTGATGGCAAACGTACCATGTTCTTGTGCTTCTCACCATCAGGCAAAACCACACTCTCTACTGTCACATTTGGGTTCCCTTGTGTCAATGCTTCAACAACTCTATCTAGGTAGAGTGGAGCTACAGTTTCGTTAGTCACCACAAGGACCCTCTTCCCATGGACATGCCTACAAATTCAACAAAACTCATTCGTTTATCAACCATATCCTAGAAATCGATGCACCGTTATATTTCTCAGGCTAGCTAATCCAGACAAGTCGAAAATTGGCAAGCAGATAAAAACAAGCCAAACCAATGATTGATCAAACCGAAAGCTGAGAGGGGAAATAAAATGCAATTCCACACCTTTGAAGAAGGTTGGGCTGGTTCAGAAGGCCGGATCCAATGTAAATAGGATAACTCCGGTTCCCCAATTCGACTTCCACAACAGTAGGCGCTCCAGCGGAACCAGATTCACTGACCGGCGATGGGTCCATAACCGGAGCAGAAGTAGCGTGAACAATACAGCTCGAACGGCGAGTGGCCAACGAAGCTCCCGTCACCGGTCTCAAACGCAGAGACACACCACCGCTAGGCTTTCGGAAGCTGAGACAGGAAGACTCCGGCGAGTAAGAGTAATTGTCCCTGCGGGATGAAGAAGAAGAGGCGGCGGCGATGGAAAGAGAGAGGGAGATGGCATTGGCTGCGGAAGCCATGGTCGATGATGGAGTTTGGGTTGGTGGAGTAGCATTTCTGTGAAATTTTGTCGCTGAACAAGAAGAAAAGGCAAAAGAGAAGAATCTGGGGAAGGGTAGGTGAAGGGGACGCTGAAGTCGATACGCCGTCGGATCTGTAATGAAATGCCGAAGGAAGATCTAACGGCTGGTAAACTTCTGGGAGCAGTTAAGGTCGTTAAATTACCGGTTTTGAAGTTCGGAAGCTGATAGACCTAATCATAAAAGTAGAAGTACCAGATTAGCATTTTTAGCCCGAAATAGAAAATAAAATGACTGAAAAGAAAAAGGGGGGAAGAAATAGAGAAAGGGATACGATAATGGGAGGTGGAACCGTGGAGGGTTTTGTCTCTTAAACCTCTCACCCTTGGCCCTCTCTGTAGTCTTTTGAGTTTTGTGGCGGCTACTCTCTCTCTAGCTCCATACCATTACCAGTTTCTTCTTCTGCCGCCTCGCTGCTGAACCCCTACCCTTCTTTTTTCCCTCCTTATTTCTTGAGTGTAGCTCATTTTCCCTCCGTTCTTTCACTCTCCCTCTCTCTACTTAATTCTCTCTCTTTCTTCGTTCAATCTGTGCCGGTTATGGCGGTCGTTGCTTCTGCTGATCGTATCCTTCCAGAATTCCCTGAACTGGGTAATCTTTGGCTTTTGTTTCTTGAATTGTCTGATTTCCCTTTCTTGGTTGCTATCGCCGCCCCCGTAAATCTAACTGCTTCTCTCTGATTTTGTTCCTGTTGTATCTGAAAATTCGTCCATTCCAGTTTGAACCAGCTCTCAAGATTTGCTTATTGTGGTTTCTTCTCTGTGATTGGTTTCTTGCTGGTTCTGTTTCCGGCCTGTGGCGTTTGGTGGGGCTATTGGGTTTAGCTGGGGTTTTAGATTTGAGCCTGTGGGTGTGCTCTGGCTTTCTCTTTCTGTATCTTCATGTTGAATTTCTTATGGATGAATGTATATATCCATGTTGCTGTTATGAATTGGGTGCCGAGCCTTTGTTTTGGAGATTATATCAGGTTTGTTAATAGGTCGACTTCTGTCAAGGGAACGCTTTCCTTTTCCCATCGATTGGTTCATTTGTGAATTATAGTTTCTCTTGGGTTCATGCGATCAATTCTTGTGCATTGGTTTGAGGTCAAGTCTGTGGGTTTGTCTATATTGGTGTATCCTTATACTCTTACTCCACAGAAACTGCAGGTTTATTGGATAAGCTGTCACTAGACTCGCAGGCCAAGACAGCTGATGTTTCGGATCCGGCAAAGAAGGTAAGTATCAAGCTTGAGATTAATCAATTTTACCAGCTTTAGTTATTTGTACCCCTTTTCGTTTAGTTTCCCTGATCATATGGTAAATTGGTTGGTATAGCTGTCAACTAGTCAATATGGACCAAATGACTTGGCTAATAATCAAGCCATGCCATTTACTCGCTCCACAACCCCTCTTGTAGACCCAAATTCGTTCTATTATCCTAATGGATACCCGTCGTCTGCATACTATTACGGAGGTAAGCTCCACATTAAGGACATTGCTGTCTAACGTCCTTTTCAAAGTAAGCGTGAACCTGAAATTCCTAAGTTAGTTTAAGATCGATGAGTGATATGTGTTTTTCTTGGTCAGTAACGCTGTGTTGCAAAATATTCATCATTCTTCAGGTTATGATTGGAACGACTACAGTAGATATGTAAATCCAAATGGGGTTGAGATATCTCATGTCAGTTCTACCTCTTTTCTCATTTTTATTTATACTTAGATTTGGTATAAACACTGGATTAAGCACCATCCTGTTTGTAACGAGGTCCAGTTGTCCTGCTAATATGCTCTTTTCTTCTTCTTCTTCTTCTTCTTCTTCTTCTTCTTCTTCTTCTTCTTCTTCTTCTTCTTCTTCTTTATGTCATAGGTTGAGCATTGACAACTTGTTGTTTATTGGTAGGCTGGGTTAGGAGATGGTGATACGGCTTTTTATCCCCAAGGTTATCCCTATGGAACATTTCCTTCATCAAATGCTTCTGCTGGTCCAACCCATGATAGCCAGTTGTATGGGACCCAGCAGTACCAGTATCCTAGTCCTTTTTATCAGCTTCCTTGTTCCAATGGTACACTTAGCCAAGTTAGCCCCTCAACAGGGGAGGTTTCAACTGCATCTGTGACCGACAAAGTCCCTCTGCCGGTTGCTGGGACAAACTCTGGGAACATGGGCAGTCTGAACAAAAATAATGGATTGAAGTCTACTTTCCGATCAAGTAATCAGAATTCATATTCTTACTCCGATGGTTCCTTCAAAAGGGGAAATTCTGCGACAACATACCCGACATCAAGTTATCAGGATCCGAGATTTTCCATTGAGGCATTTCAACAAACATTCCCTTGGGTTGATCCCTCTATGTTCACCGGGAGTCAATGTGGACATATTTCAGGAGGCGGCTTTTCCTCTTCAATGGTATGTGCATACACAAAATCCTTTCTTGTTTACCAATGAAGTCCCACCACTTAAATGCTCTGGCTACCAAGAGTTAGTGATTTTTGTTCGCTGTTATTACAGAATTCACATTCAACAAGGCCAGTACCAGGTCTTGGACAAGGCTCTAGTTATATGATGTATCCAAACAACAGAATGTACGGCAGTTATGGAAACCGAGGCACTGGATATTCCTTTGGTTATAATGGTTGGAGCAATGGGTGTGGTTGGATGGCTACTGACAGGTACAAGTCAAAAGGCCGTGCATATGGCAATGAGAACATGGATGGTTCAGGCGAGCTGAACAAAGGCCCCAGGGCCAATAGTCTTAGAAGTCAAAAGGACTTTGGTGAGGGGCAGACCAATTCTACAACAGGGAACAACGAGGAGAATCCGAGTGAAATTTTAGACAAGGAACAATATAACAGGGAGGATTTCCCAGAAGAGTACACAGATGGCAAGTTCTTTGTTATTAAATCATACAGTGAAGATGATGTTCATAAGAGCATCAAATATGGTGTTTGGACTAGCACGCTGAACGGTAATAAGAAACTTGATGCAGCTTACAGAGAGGCCGGTGCCAAGGCTGGTCACTGTCCAGTGTTCTTATTGTTTTCGGTAAGTGCCTTCGATATATTCAGTTAACCTAGTTGGTTTCTTCCTAGGAGTCTATTATCAGCAAAATCTCTGTTGCTTGCAGGTGAATACAAGTGGTCAATTTGTTGGTTTGGCCGAAATGGTTGGTCCCGTTGATTTTGAGAGAACCGTGGAGTATTGGCAACAAGACAAGTGGGTTGGTTGCTTCCCTGTCAAGTGGCACATCATCAAAGATGTGGCGAATAGTACATTGAGGCACATTACACTTGAGAATAATGAGAACAAGCCTGTAACTAATAGTAGGGATACTCAAGAGGTAGAAGCATCTTCTTCTAGTTTTGCACCATTTATTCGTGTCGTCTTGCTGTTCTTTTATTTTCGTTCGTAATCTTCTCACTTTGATTGCTGAATGGTGCAGGTGGTCCTAGAGAAGGGTATTGAGGTTCTTAAAATCTTCAAGTCCTGTACTTCCAAGACTTCCATTCTGAACGATTTTGGGTTCTATGCAACCCGTGAAAGGATAATGCAGGAGAAGAGGGCGAAACAGAAGTTGCAGAAGCAGGTAGGAAGAATAGCTGCTTGTGAAACTCATCTCGGTCTGAATGGTGGGTTCACTAGAAATGAATTCCCTGATTCGTCTTTCTTCATGCCTTTGAAAACCAGGTATTGGAAGTTGCAATGAATGGGACAGATGGCCTGCAAAAGCCTGCTAGTGGTACGTTGGCCAAAGGCCCGATAAAAGTAGTAGAAATCGAGTTGAAGACGAATGGGGAGACTGGGGTTCCCGAACAAAATGAAGCAACAGTTGAAATGCCACCCAATGATGGCGAAACTGTTGGTGAATCATACGAGAACAAAGTAGCTGCAAATGGGGTTGCAAGTGCCTGCTAAAAGTTTTGGTCTATGTTGGGTGTAGGGTTTTGTTTTGGGACCTAGAGAGTTATAAACTCTATTAGTGTAGAATTACCGTGGCGGGTGTTGTGGGTTTCCATGTCGATTGACGGTTGTGGGAGTATCGTGGTCAGGTTATCAATATACGGAAAGATGGATTTTGGTTTTCTTTTTTGTTTCCAATTTTAGTGTGGAGTCCAATTCGCAGTTCTTTTTTTTTTTTTTTGTGAGACAATTTGCAGTTCTTTAGTTATCAATCTGTGTTGCGGAACTTGCGGTCGTCTGAAGGAATGATTCAGAGATTGGTAAGAGAAACATATGGGTTGGACTTGGCTGTCAGTCGGTCGGTTTCGGTTTAACCGAAAATCGCTTTCTTGGTTATCGGTTAAATCGAGACACTGACTGCGGCTTTCGACCACCGACCTCCCTGGAGCCTTGGTTAGCCGCAGATCGATCGATTGATTTCGGCTCGGTTTAACCGGGCAACCGCAAAATGGAGGTCGGTTGGGCGATGAGAACAAGGTTGGAGGGGAGGAGGACTTGGCGGTTCGTCTCGTCGTCTCGATGTGAGGGTGGAGGCGGCGGGATGGCTGCTGGAGGGGCGACGAGAAGCCTGCGGCGACCGGCGAGTGGCTGGTGAGGGGCGACGAGGTCGCGAATCGGCGAGGGAGAGGAGGAGCGGTAGTAGGCGATGGCGCGCAGTTGGGCGGCGACTTCGCATGGCCGGCGGCGACGAGGGTTGGTTTCTGGCGGCGAGAAGGAGGGAGGGTTTCTCTGTCTATACGGCGCTGCGCGAGAAGGTGGAAGGGGTGGAACTGGAGAAGCTGAGAAGGGGAGAAGGGATTTCTGTTAGGGTTTGGGCATTTGGGTAATTGGGTGTCGTTTTTTTGTTTTTGGGGGTCGTTTTAGGGATGGTGTGGGGTCGTTTTGGAGAAGAGGAGAAGAGGTCGGCTAGCCGAACCTCTTCACCTCTCCTCCGACAACCGACCGACGATAAAAGTAACGGTTTTCGGTTAGCAGAAAACCGGTCGGTTTGGTTGAAACTGTCCGGTTAACTGCTAACCGAAAACCGTTCTGCCACCCCTAGTTATCATTGTCTTCATGATTTTCGGTTCAAGATGTACTCTCAAGCTGGAATTATATGAATCAAGGTTGTAAAATTGGCTTATATGGGTGTAGTGGTATCTAGACCTGACAGTCGGGTCGGGTTGGGTAATTTCAGGTTGGAACTTCGATTACGGGTCGGGTCATGTTTGGTTGGCTTATTTCGGGTCAAATATTGACCCAACCCATTCGGTTTCGGGTCGGGTTACAGGTCATTTCGAGTTATGAGAGTTCTCAGAAACAATATCAAACATGCTTCATATTTTCTTAAGGAACACAAATTTTCACATATGCATGACAATAGTTTACCTAACACATGAAATTCAACATATTCTCAAATCCTCTCACGCTAATTAAATGAAATATAAATTGCGCAAATCGTCAAAAAACAATCACAAGTGTAATACTACTACAAGAAACACATGATATTTGATTATCCTTAAACTCCAAACATGTCATTCAAATCCTTGTGATTTTTTTTAAACATCTCACCAATTTATGAGTGATTTTATTATATTTTGTGAGTAATATATTAAATGGAACGGTTCAAACAGGTCGACTCGCAAACCCACCCAACTCGACCCAAAAAATCATGGGTTATCGGGTTCGGGTCGTTCGAATTTCGGGTTACAAAAATTTATAGTTTTCGGGGGGGTTTTGGGTCGGGTCAACGGGTCGGTTTGTAATTTGCCAGGTCTAGTGGTATCGTAAGTGAAATGGTTTGATAGTTACAACTGGTATATGCCAATTTAGTATGAGAAGGAGCGCTATTGTATGGCCTCGCAAAAAGATAGTTCGCCGGCCAGCTGAGCTTCACATAAATAAAAATAAATGTAAAACTACAAATTGTTAATAGAACGAATTTGATATGCTATCGTCTCTTTGTTGGGTTCTCTTTTCTAATTTAATGTTGTTGCCTTTATTCCCCTTCTTTTTCCAGTTTTTTTTTTCAAGATTATTATTGATAGGGGTAGCATTCGGTTGGTAATCGGTTATCGGTATACCGAAATTCATTGGAGAGTAGTCGAATACCATATCGGTTTCTGTTCCAATTAACTGCTAACTGGTTAGATGGCACAAGTCAACTCGACCTGGCCATCCGGCAGGATGCACACGAGTGAATACTCTGATGCCAGGGGGTCGTGTTCGAGAGAGGTCACTCAGATATTGTCCCCCCTAGATTGTAGTTAAACCGAGTTGTAATTCACCAAGTCCAGATGTCATGATAGTTATACTGCGGAAGATTCTTATTCAGTCTGAAGTCTTGACTAAAGTTCTTCAGACCCTCATGGTCTGAATACATGGCGGACGACTAACCTCCACCGGAGTAAACAAACTGAGGCTCCAACGTGCAAAACCTTCTCTCCTACATTAAATCCAGTACATAGCAGTGAATTGACTTCTTGACTAAAGTAGTCAATTCACCACCTTCAACTAAGGATGCTCTATCAACCTATGCAAATATTCTCTTTCTAGGTCAAAGCAGAAACTACAAGAATGTGATCAAGATTCATGCAATTTAGAAATCATGCCTCAATTGAATATAATCAGTATCACTCACAAGATTATGTACTTGGGTTCATACAACCAACCTAACATACAAATCTAGGGTTCTTCATACCCAGGTGAGAGAGGGAGTTTACTAAATAGAGAGAGAAGAGAAATCAGCTTCAGATGCAGAAATCATCATGTGGAGGATGGAATTCAACTTCTGGTTGTCAATCTGTGCTTCTCCATGCTTCAATGGAGCTCCAATTGTGTCAAAGCTCACTCTAGGTCACCTTGGAGGTTGGGTTCGTCACTTTCTCTCTCTAAAACTTTGATTACCACTCTAAAACTTGGATCTCCTTCTCAAAGACTCAAAATTGGGTTAAAACTCAACTTTGCCCGATTACACGGCCAGACCACACGACCGTGTAGAAATCCAGTTTGCCCGTGTAACTCCCAAAACGCGACGTTGCACTTAGTTGGCCGAGAGAAGTCAAACGACCATCACACGACTGTGTGGAATTCAGCCTTTCCTGTGTAACTCTCCTAGAAAACCCAAACGACCAAAGGGTGCCCTTGCACGGCTAGTACGGGTATGGTTGCGTGATTCCAATTACACGGTCATACTGCACGGCCGTGTAAAATCGGCTCTAGCCCGCGCACAGCCACATCGCACGTTCGCGTAAAATCATGAGCAGGCCGCATAAAATCCTCAGCTTTCCATCGAACGTCCTAACTTCGTCCAATCGACCTCGAACTCGTTCGCAAACATTCATTCACATACTAGGACCTGAAATATCACCAACAAGAACAACCTAGCGTGAAATCGGTTTAAAACACGAGAAACGAGCCTCACACAATATAAGAATGGTGGACAAAAACTTGTGCAAATATCGAGTAATCAAATCCCCCCACACTTAACCGTTTGGTTGTCTCCAAGCAAACATGGCTCAAACCAATGCAACTCTCCAGACCTCTACAACAACATGCAACCCCGATCATCGGTAGATGACTTCCTAGATCATTTAGAAGCTTACGAGGTCAACCAACACACAAGACACCTCCTAGCTTCTTCAATGATAACTCTAGTCTCGAGTCGGGATCATGCCAAGTGAAGTAGTGATCAGAGGACAAGTGATTCATGGATAAAGAGACTCTCAAAAACAGAAAGATCATGGACTCACTTTTTCAGGTGCTCTATTTTTTCCTTTAAATATTGTTGGAACCCCCTTTTCTTCATTTTTTTTTTCATTTTCTTGTTTTTTTTCCCCAAGGGTTCCAACCTGTTATTTTCAGCAAACGGGGCTCCCACCTAGCAAAGGTTTTGAGGGAGCCCAGCTCTTACCGGCCATGCCGGGAGAGGCTCTTAATGGCCATGTCGGGAGTAGATGTCTCAAGCCTCGTGCGGGGAAAAGAGGTGTAAGGGGGATGGAGGTAGTAGGTGGAAGTTGAGAACGGATTCCCGTCTCCCCTTACCCACTGTCACTGATTTCCACACGGGAGACATTATTTTAAAAGCACAATTTAGAGCACCTTTTTCAAAACATGATATAGGAGCCCATGACAGGGAGAGTCATCGATACCACACGATTCAAGTATCCTAAAATCACTAATTCATATAATCAACCAACAGAATATGAAGAAGAAATGAGGTTTCTTAACTGCATCGACATCCTCCATAGTGCTACACTACCTCCCTAGGTTGCATATTACTATAAAGACTGTCAATTCAAAGCATACTGAGAAGGTGATAGCAAAGAACACATACTTGGAGCCCTTAAATCGAAAATTGGATAGTGTTAAATAAACTAAAATAGGAGGAAGGGTTTCAAGTACATATAATTAAAACATAGCTAAAAACAACACTTACAATGATAAAACTAAAAATACATCTCAAGGAACTCCCTGGGACTCATGGGGATGCAAGGTTTTCTTGCTCCTTGTACGACGACCGACGGGAGTAACCATCGATGGTTGCGGAGGCAAGCTTCGATGGGCCATGTTAGGGCGCTCGGTGTTGTGTCGGCGTCGATCCGTGGTTGGCGGCGCTTCCGGGGTCGAGCGGGGGACATCCACGCTCATACGGTGAGGTGTAGGATGCCACTGCTGATGAGGGCGAGGAATAGGATTGAAGTCCTGATGCGCAATCGTTGAGGAACCATCATGCCAAGTACCCAAGGATGTGGGGGGTTCGTTGAAGAAGTTTGGGGGGGGGGGGGGTCCTTTGGGGTAGATCGGCCGAGGATCATAGTATCGTGGGCGAGGATCATAGTATGGTGGGCGGGGATCGTGGTACGAGATCGGGCGGGGATCATATGGGGATTGATGGTAGCTCGGGCGGGGATCGTAGTATGAGCTCGGGTGGGGATCATGATGGTAGCTCGGGTGGGGATCATGATGGGGATCTT